TCGGGCCATGTGCGGGAAGGCAACCAGCTGTTTCTCTCTCTCACATTGATGTTTGTCTCTTTAAAAACAATGAAAAAAATGTCCTCATGTGAGGATTAAAAAAAAAAAAATTAGGGAAGAAAAGCAGAGGTCTTTAGTTCTCCTAGAGAACACTACCCAGAAGTGGCTCAGTTGGTTGGAGCATTGTCCCACAGCCAAAAGGTTGCGGGTTTGATTCCCGGTGAGGGCACACGCCTAGGTTGCAGGTTGGATCCCCAGTCTGGTGCATGCCATTCCTAGTCTGGTGCGCCCCGGGTGGTGCATTCCAGTCCGGCGTATACGGGAAACAACCAGTCAGTGCTTCTCTCTGACATCGATGTTTCTCTCTCTCCTGCTCCCCTTCCTCTCTCTCTAAAAGCAATGAAAAAGTATCCTCGAGTGAGGATTAAAAAAAAAAAACACAACTTTTTTTTAAAAACAAAATATAAATGAGATGCCATTTTTCACCTGTTGGATAGGTTTTTAAATTTTTTACTTAAAGTTTAAGGTACAGTGAGATGGGGGTCTGCTTATATATATTGCTAGTAGGGATACAGTAATAAAGCTTTCTTCAGGAAAAACAATTTGATAACATATGGAAAAATATTAATCCATACATTTGGACAGGGTTAGGGTTTGGCACACTAGAGCCCACAGGCCAGATCTGGCCTTTGGCTTTTTTTGTGTATGGCCCAGCAACTAACAATATTGTTCACATTTTAAAGGGTTGAGGGGTAGAAGATAAAAATAAGAATGGGTCATGAGGACTGTATTGGTCCAAAAAGCCTAAAATATTTGCCATCCAACCTATTACATAATTACATTCACTATTATATACCTTTGTTAGAGTAACTATACTTGTGGAAGTCTGTTAGAGGAAAACAAGCTACAGGCAAAGACTAGATACTGATGAGTGGACAAATATTCTCAATAAAAAGCTAGACTGAGCATACATTTCAGCAGTAATGAAATAGGTAAATAGTCAAAGGATAGCCATATAATAAAATCACTCTCCAGAAATGATTAATGAAATAAGGGCATGTTCCTAACGAAGGGTAAGATGAAAAACATTAATACCATATTAATGTATCAAGGAAAGACTACAAGGATATACAATAAGTTTGCAAGTGGTTATCTGTCAGTGTTAGGATTAGAGATGGGTTTGATTTTACTTTTATGCTTTTTTCTTGTTATCTTAGCTTTTTATTATGAGCTTGCATTATACTTATGGTCGAAGAAAAAAATGTTTCTTTTTCCTCTGTTAAGTCCACTAAAAGAATGTGAAGAGACATGAGAGTTGAGAAAATTTTTTAAAACTCCTTAGGGGTTATGTCCATGATTTATTCATCTTTATATATCTATACAGTGCCAGGCATTTGCTAGGTGTTTGGTAAATGTTCATTTAAAGAATGAGTGACTAGCCCTGAGAAGTGTGGCTCAGTTGGTTGGGTGTTGCTCTGTGAAGTGAAGGTTGATTCCCAGTCAGGGCATGTGCCTAGTTTGCGGTTTCAGTTGCCAGTTGGGGCGCTAACAACAGGCAACCAATTGCTGTTTCTCTCCCTCTCTTCCCCCCTTCCACTTTCTCTAAAAACAAATTAAAAAAAAAAAAAAAAAAGAATGAATGACTCACCCTGGTTTGGTGGCTCAGTTAGTTGGAGCATCATCCCATACACCAAAGGTTGTGGGTAAGATTCCTGGTCAGGGCACATGCATAGGTTGCAGGTTCGGTCCCCAGTCCAGATGTGTCTGGGACCAGATTGATGTCTGTCTGTCTGTCTGTCTGTCTGTCTCTCCCTCCCCCGCTTCCCCTCCTCCTGCACCCACTCTCTTCCTCTCTGTGTAGAATCAATGGAAATATCCTTGAGTGAGGATTTAAAAAATAAATAAGTAAAAGAATGAGTCACTAGGTAGAAAATGCAAAAAACTGCTCAGTCTCAAGGAAATGCAGATAAAACTATATATGGCCTATCATTTTCCCCTTGCCAAATTAGCAAATATTTTGTTTAATAAAAAAAGCTAATTTTTTAAAATGAGAGAGTTTGGAAGGGATAATTGACATATAATAAAACTCACCCCCTTTTTAAGTTTACAGTCTGCTGTAATTTAAAAGCTGGATCATGTGACCATTACCTCTATCAAGACAGTGAACATTTCACCCACCCCAAAAAGTTCCCCAGTGCTCCTTTGTAGTGAGTTCGCTTTCTCACCCCCAATACATGGCAGTCACTAGTCAGTTTTCTGTTACTGTAGTTTTTCCTTTTCAAGAATATCATATACACAGAATTATACAGCAAGTCTGGCTTCCTTTATTTATCATAGTTTTTGAAAATCATCCATTTTGTTGCATGTAGCAGCATCGTGTTTCTATTTCCAAGTAGTATTTCACTGTATACTTCATTTTGTTTATTCATTCACTGGTTTATGGACATTTGGGTTGTTCCCAAATTGTTACAATTAAGTGACTACTGGTGGAATTGCTGGGTCATGTGTGGTGCATGTATGTGAAGTTTTACAGCTGCCAGCCTGTTATCCAAAGTGACTGTACCATGGCCTTGCCAGCACTTGCTAAGGTATTGAAACAAGTACTGAACACTGCAGTTGTGAGTTGTGCAGTTTTCTCTTTAGGAAAGCATAGCGGCAGTTTGAATCAAGTCAGTAGAAATGTTTATTCTCTTTTACTTGGACATTCCACTTCAAGGAAGTTCTTTGTAAGGAAAAACCTGAAATATGCGCAGAGATATTGAAGGGCCATTTGTAATGGAAGAGTGTATGCCTAACTGTACATTCAGTGTTATGCCAGGCATTATCATGGATTCAAAAGAAACTTGTTGTTTTTACTCATATAGCTTGTGATTTTAAAAAGTGCTTATTATATGAAATGTAATCAGTGAGCAGTGCAACATTGCATTAAAGTACCATATATTAAGGGGATAAGCAGAAGAGTTGGAAACTGGGATGGATTATATTAAAACTTGATTTCAGCAAAGTTTTGGATCATGGCTAAAGCTTGAGTTAGAGAGTTGGAGCTTTCTAAAAGTTGGAACACAACATGAATAGAAGTTAAATATAGTCTGTGTATATAATGTATAGAATGTTTTCATGTTGATATAATAAAACGGTTTTGTTGGAGGTTTTTAAAATAATAGAGCAGGAACAGCATATGCTTTAGAACTGGAAAGACTGCTGTAAGCATCTGCATTCTTATAAAAAGACTTCAAAGGCTTCCTGGTGGCCTACGATTCAGCAGGTGCTCAGTAAATGGCCACTACTGTCATTTTTACTAGTACTAATAAAACTAACAGGAATCTAAGCTTGATGGAGTAGTTTAATAGGGAACATTGTTATATTTTGAAAAGAGCATTAATATATAAATTATAGTCGTATTTGTCAAGTGGTTTATTTAGGATAAAAAAATGAAAAAAGAATAAAAACTTAAACCCTAAATATGCTCCAGAGAGAAATTTTGTCCTGTTTGTTATCTTCTGTGATTGGTACATTGTATGAGGAGTGAGAATGGGGTGGGGTTTGTGAGTTGGTCACAGATTTATAATTACCCGTATTTTGCTGTGTATAATGCGCTCCCATGCATAGTGCGCACACAAGCTTTACGCCCAAACTTTCAGAGAGAAAAATCTTTTAATATTTTAATTCAGTTTTTTATTTATTTATATTTATAGATTCAGGATTTATTTATTTTTAAGTATGTTATTGATTATACTATTACAGTTGTCTCATTTTTTTCTCCCCTTCATCCCCCCTGCCATGCACTGCCCCACCCCCCAGCATTCCCTTATTTCATGCCCATGGGTTGTACATGTAAGTTATTTGGCTTTTCCATTTCCTATACTATTCTTGACTTCCCTCTGTCTATTTTGTACCTGCCAATTATTTATATTTAGAAACAAAACCGATTATCATATTCCAGGGTATTATTTTGCATATGAATACCATTACTGCTTAAGTTACACTTTTCATGCATAAGCATACATAAAAGAATTAAAAACATTTATATAGATACGGAATTAATACTACCCATATATAATGTGCATCTTTATTTTCCCCTTGAAAATCTGGGCAAAAATATGTGCATTATACATGGCACAATTTGGTAACTCATTGAAAAGTAAGGAGAAGATTGTCGTCATTAGTCCTAAAGTGGAACTGTGGGGTGATGATGTTGCCTGGATGAGCCGGATGGATTGGGGGTGATAGATTAAAAGATTGGGAAATCTGGTTTCAATCAAATGATAGTTTGTTTTTTATTTATAGTTTCTTGGTTATATACAATGAGAGAATAGAAAAGGGGACTGTCATTTAAAAAAGGAATTACAAAAGCTATCATTTACTTAGTGCCTTCTATGTGCCAGATGTATTACATATTATCTCACATTATATATCTCATATTGAAGTCATGTTACGGATGGGACAGAATTAGTGACTTGCCAATGGGAACGTAATTAGTAGGTGTTAGAGCTAGGATATGAGCTGTGCATTTGAAAAACCAGCTTAATGCCATCTCTTCATTACAGGCACCCTCGTCTCTTAACTCTCCCCAGGACCCTCTGTCTCCCATCACCTGCTCTCTTGAGGACTCCTGTTTTCATGTGATAACCAGTTTATAGCTGTAGTTTTGCATTTACTTATGGAATTATAATTACAGTATACCTTTGGTATTTAAGGACTTAGCATTCTCTAATTCAGCTAATCCTTCCGTAACTTAAGAATTACATGTGTAAGTTCCATGATGTGGAGAATCAAAATACAAGCTGGTATACTAAGGTATTCACTCCTGTGAATGTCAGCACTTGAATGTCAGTTACTGGGCGAAAATTTCAGGGGTCGGAATAAATGTCTTTCACAAATGTAAATGTCTTACTTCTTTTTAACTACTACCCAGCTTATTATTCAACTTGGAGTTCTGCCTAACACTGCTCCTAGTGAATGTGTATATTCAAGTAATTCATAGTATATTTAAACCGTAGGTCCTCTGCTGTACCACTTTGAAAATTTGGCAAATGAACTTTCCATAGAATTGAGCTATGAGGATCTAAAAAATGTTGTTCTGCAGTATGGATTCCAGCTAGAGGTAAGGAGGGAATGAAATATTGCCAAAACTTAACTTCAAAAGCATTTAACTAGGAATAGCGATAGGGCATTTACTGGCTTTACCTTTTCTCTGTTTTCTCATCGATAAAGTGAATAGTTTTTAGAATTATAAGGATTTGGGATAATATGTATGCAAATGAAAAAACTATATCCATGGTATAATCACCTCTCAATAAATAGTAGCTGACCACTATCATGACACTGGCCTTTGTAGACTGATAGTTAACCAACCAAGTAGATGAAGCTCTGGGGAGGCAAGTTGGGGTGGGAGGGCAGGAATTAGAGGGATATTGTTTACTGTACATGCTTTTGTACAGTTCAACCTTTTTTATTGTGTGCGTAATAATAAGGTTTTATGATACTTTGACTCTTGTGTTTTAGCTGTATTAGAAACATTCCATTCATTTTAAAAATACACAACAGACTGGTTCCTAAAGATAAAGAAAAGCAATATATTATATATAGTAGCTTAGAGTTCAAGCTCTGTAGTTAGACTGCCTGAGTGTGAACACCAGTCCTACCACTTATTAGCAATGTGACCTTGAATAACCTGTTTTTTGTAAAGTAGTACCAATCTTATGGTAGTATTTGTATGTAATAAATGAATTAATGTCTAGAATATGTGTAAAATAGCACCTGCCACTTAAAAGGGCTCAGTGTTTGTTAATGTCATCATGGTAGCCACCATCATCATCATGATTGTTTGCATTGCAGGTGGAAAAGGAATCTGTCTTGTCAACATATACTGTGAATGATCTCTCCATGATGAAATACTACTATGAATGTGTTTTGTTTGTGGTCCGTAAGCCACAATAATGGTCTCAAGTGATATCACCAAGAAAAATAAGTTCAATAAGAGCAAATCCTGAAATAAACAACTCAAAAACAACTATCAAATGACAGGACACAACCTCAAATCAGTGGTGCCTTCTTATTCCTAACAAAGTTTAGAAATAGTGTCTATTTTCTTATGTCTTATTGCTTTTTCAGAAATATACTATGCCATGCATATTTGTATTACACAAGTAAAAACTGAGGAAATATCTTCAAGTTTACCTTTTGCTTGAAACCCAGAATTGTCTTTCTGTAGAAAACACTTTAGTGTCTTCATGAAGCTCTCCGTTCCAGGTCTGCCATGCTGATGACTAATAGTATTGAAGTCCATTAATAGTCTTTTTTTTTTTTTTTTTTTTTTTTTAATGCATTACACATGTTATTTTTAGAAGAGTCTAAGGATCCTCTCATATTCAACATCTGGAATGAGACTTTTATTCACTTAGACCTAAGCAATCGCTACATAAAATGTGTCTATTCTTTTATTATTCATTTTATTTTTTTCTAGCTCAGCTGAACTTAGAGAAGCATCAGACCTTTCATTTTTATGAAATATTAAATTTAATGGTATCACAGGCCAGTAAAAATGCACTCAAGTAACTAAGAAATGAGTAAGCCTTTTGTCCACACTAAACTGAACACTTTGAAAGCATACTCATCATGGATCATTCTGAAATGTACGAAGATTTCAACAATCTTAAGTGAGGCACAAAAGCCTTTATTATAGGTACTGTTAGGAAACTGGGGAAATAATATCTGCCCATTTGAAATGTATGATTTCAAACTATAAATGAATACAGTCTGTCAGTGAGATGTTTACAATAATGTCTTGCCTTTAGATTACCTGGATACAAAAGCACTTTTTTTCCATCAAAACAATTACATACTAGTAAAAATTGTCATGATAGTATTAATGAGGGGAAATTTTGAAAATGAAATTCAGGGATAAATTACTGCCCATGGTCTGTGTCTCCAATATTACATGCAGCAGCCATTAATATAATTTCAGATTAACACCAATTTTTTTCCCTGATAGCTGGGGCTAAAACAGTATATGCTGTTTTAAATTTCTACCTCTAGCAGATTTTTATTGGAGGGAATTTTCTTTGTATTTTTTGTTAACTCTGTTTCCTGTAGCTTGGAAAGTAAGGATGACAAAAATAATGTTTTAACCTTTTCTTGGAGAAAAGGAAGTAGTACTCTTGAATATTTTCACAGGTTATTATGGTGGGATTAAGTGACCTCTCTCTGGCCATTTGGATTAGATAAACTTAATCTCAATAATGTGCTGGTAGCATAAACGTCATGTTTTAATGGGAAATTTTACTTGTCTTTAAACCATTATGGCCACTTGGGTTGGGGGAGTCACTACACAACCTGGCATTTCACTAATAGGAGCCAGATAAGGGAGCTCTTTGCCCTCTCTCTGCCCATTATGCAGTAAAGGAATCCATGAAGCTACTTGGACTTGTCAACTTATGCAAGCCTATAACCTGTTGATGGGGTTTTTTTTTAATGATTTCTCTTTTTTTGTGTGTCCCTTCGTACTTGGCAGATGTTCTTTTAGTGGAAATTCTCATTTTTTTACCACATGAATAAACTTGAAAAAATTGCTTCCCACAATTAGTATTATTTTTAAGAAAGAAAAGACTTAAAAGGAATCTAGGTATTTTTTAAAAATCCATTGAAAGAAATGCATACTGTTTTTGAGTAATTTAGAAAGGGTTTTTATTCACTGACTAGTTCTCACTTTTTTGGAAAGTGTATCGAAACAAATAATCTTGTTCTGCTCAGAGAGGCAAAAGCAGGTTGACACTGGTGGGCTGGCTTTATTACTTAAAGTTTCTGCTATCAGGTTTTATTCTTTAGTAATGTTACTTATATTTATAAATTATGGCTTACATTTTAGTTAATTCTGAAATCAGTTTTTAATTTCTCCCTCATATTATGCACACTTTCTTAAATGTTTTACACAAATTTGCATTGCTTTTTTTTCTCTTAAAGCTTTCACAGTTAATATCACCTAAACTTGAAAATTGTGGTATTAGTCAATAAAAGGAGTGTTGTTAGAGGATTTAATTTTCTGTTTCTTTTATGCAGTCCTACTAAAGTGTGTAAGCCTTAACAGTTTTTTACTTTTTTCTTGTTAGCTGTATACACAAATGTTATCATTCATTTTCATAAAACAGGAGGAGAAGGTCATTGTGCTTGCTGTTTATTTTTTTTCCCCCATGAAGAGGTGCAGGTTAGGGTATGTTAATCAAGTGAGCAAGGTGGGATATGTAAAATATAAAGAGAAGCTGTATAAATCACAGTATAAAATTATGAAGTTTTGGAAATGTTAAATGTACTGTATTTATATGTAATTCTCATTCTAAAAGTTGCCACAAAGGCTGAATTGGAAGCTTCATGTCTGCATGAAATTTCCTGTATTTTTAATGTGTATGATGGACTTGATTTTTCTTGAATATTAAAGTCTGCCAATTGCTATGAACAATATTTGCTTGGTTATTTCCATCTAACTTAGTGATAACCATATGGGAATTTAAATTAATGAACACATATAATTTTAAATCCTTGGATGAGCTTCTGTATGCTTGTAGAAAGTCAATAAAATATGGGTGTTTGGTCTTTAAAAGTATGCTAGGCCTTATCCTAATTAATCCTGACCTTTGGTTTTGTTAAATAATAGAAAAAGAACTCTAAAGGAAACCAGTAGAAGAAGGTTCCTGTGCCAGCCATTACTAGGATGAGCACTGGACTTGGCCCTTAGATACTCTGGGCTTGTCTTTCTGAACTACTGTTTGTGATCTTGGGCAAGGTGCTCTGAGTTTGTTTCCTTATCTGTAAGAGGATTGATACCATCTGTTTCAAAGGGGTTTTAATGAGATCATGTGAATTATATGTAACACATTATATGTGAATGTATGAAAGCACAAGAAATTAAATGTAAATTCAGTCTGTGATGATTGCTCTATGAAAAAAGATGATTGATAGCAGTACTTTAGTTTTAATAATGTTATGGTGACCCTTTGAAAAAAGTTTCAATGGGATTCTGGGGGTGTGGGGGGAGTCAAGGCTGATGTGTACAGTTATAGATTCCAAAAGTTTGGTGGTAATTGTAAAGAAATAAAAGAGCAGGTAATGGGAGAGTAAAATTTAATAGAGGGTTACTCTCACCTTTATAAACATGGTAGTACATGCCTCTTAACATATGTTTGATTATTTCTCTTCAGCAGTTATTTAGAAGTGGAATTATTCAATGTGCACGTGCATTTTCAGTCAAGTTGCCTTTCAAAAACAGTACCAATTTACAGACCATCAGCAGTGCTTGAAAATAATTTTGCATCCATTCCCTGGCCAATACTGGACATTGTTAACCTTTTGAGTTTTTGTCATTATAGGAAAAAGTGGTATCTAGTTTTAATGTTTATTTCTTTAACCATCAGGGAAGTTGATCAATTTATGTAAAATTAATGGTTAAGAGAGGTACCCTTAATCTGCCAGTCTGTCATTTTTCACATGGCAGACCACACAAGCCATTGGCGACAAGGCAAAAGTTAGACAAAATGTAGTGAGTTTCATCAAGGGGACGGTTAACCATGACTGCTTGGAGTTCTCTGCATTGAGAGGAGTGCCCACATCTGCTTTTGGTTTTACACAGCTTGAACCAAGGCTGAGCAGTGCCAGCAGCCCATTGGTCCCCATTAGGTTTCAGTTTGGCCAATCAGTGATCTAGGTCCAGGAGTTTAGGGGAGTGTCTGTGAGTCAAGAGCCCCACTGAGCCACCAGATTTGCTTTAGGTTTCAGAGAGGGGCATAAAGTTTACCCCCAAAGGAATAGTTGCCACTTTTTCATAGCACTCAAAAGCTGCTAGGGTCAGGCCAGCTATACTCTTAAACATGCTATTTCTGTTTGACTTGCAAGACTTGTTGGTGCCTTTTCACCTTGTAAGGCACCAAGTCCAAGTTGACCCACACCTGTATGGGGATGTCAAACTAGAGTCAAAAGGCTTCAACGAGTCATGCATTCAGTTTCAGCAAAAGCAGGTTAATGGCTGTCTTCTTTTGTACAAAGGTGTATTTGGTGATAGTGTCAGGCAGTTGGTGCTTTTGTAGTATCTGGCCATGGCCTATGTATTTCTGCAGCCATTAAGTCTTTGAAGCTATGGTTTCCCCTTTTCATTTTGGGGTTTTATATTATTTCTGCTGGACCACCCAGGAGGGAACCATTCGTCTATGCAGTAGTCTTTGAGTGTGACACTCATGGGAAGGCATATATCAATTCCTTTATTCATATATAATTTCTGGGGTGTGGTGCTTTAAAAATGCCCACAGATTCTTTGATATTCCTCCCTCTGGGACAGTCTAATTCCACTTCCACTTGAAGTGTAGATGGTAGTGACTCTCTTCTAATGAACAGACTGTGGTAGAAATGTGTGATACCTAATGCAGGGTCATAACAATGCAGCTTCTATTTTTCTCTCAGATCACTTGCACTAGAAGCCTGATGAGGATATTCAAATAGCCCCTATGGAGAATCCTACATGGTGAAGAGCTGAGGCCTCCTCCAAGTAGTCATAAAAAATAAATGAGTTTGGAAGTGAGTCCTCCAGCCCCAGTCAAGCCTCCAGATGACCACAGCCCCAGCAAACATCTTGACTGCAACCACATGGGCAACTCTGAACTGCCCAGCTAAGCTGATGAATTCCTGATCCACAGACTCAGAAAATGTTTTCAGCTACTAAGTTTTTGAAAGACTTATTCACTGAGTACAGAATTCTGGGTTGATTTTTTTATTTCTTTAAGGATATCACTCCATTGTTTTGATGAGTACTCTGCAGTAAGTCTTATTTTTGTCCTTAAATGTGTTCCTTTTTTCTCTGGCTATTCTCAAAATTTTAAGACAGGATGGGGCCTGTTGTCAGCATTCCCATCCTCCTCCCCGTGTATTTGTGGTTGATCTTAAGCAGGAATGACCTGCTCCTCCAGGAGTAATATCAATGAGGGATACTAGGTGCCAAATTATCTTCTGCTCCTCTCCCCAAAGTGCAGATTCTGCTTCTTGTTTTCCTTCAAGGACTTTGTCCTGGGGGTGAGATGGTCTCCTACCCCAACCCTGAGACAGGGTGGGTTTGCTTCTACTCCTCCCCAACAAGCAATGCCTGTAGCTGGGAGAATGTTTGCTGAACCTCCATCATCAGCCTGTGGCTTTGCTTACAGCAGAGAATGATCCAGGGAAACGGGGGGGCTGCTTTTATGCCTGTCCCTGGGAGCAGCAGCTGTACTGTATATCTGTC